ACATTTCATTACACCAAATACACAAAATAAATGTTCTTTTTAGCAACATCATATGACCCCTTTAAGAAACCATTGCCACATTATTACATTAGCCTACATAACATTGTTACTATATATAAAATTAATTCTGGAAAATGCATCACGGTTTCCACACAAATATGAAGCAGCTATAATAATAATAAATGTTTCTTGAGCAGCAAATTATATTAGAATTATTTCTGAAGGATCATGTGACACTGAAGACTGGAGTGATGCTGAAAATTCAGCTTTGATCACAGATGCATTTTAAATTACGTTTTAAAATATATTAAAATAGAAAATAGTTATTTTAATTGTTATATTTCACAATATTGCTGCTTTTACGTTTTTTTTTTCTTTTTCTTCAAATAAGTGCAGCCTTGGTGAGCATGAGACTTAAAGAAAATATTACAAAATCTTACTGACCCCAAACTTTTGTGTACATGTAATATTTATTTTAAATTGGCTAGTTTGTGCAAGTAAATGTAAATTTATTTAAACTGGTTGTTAAAAGTTCAAATGGATTGTGTTATGTTCTGTAATTGCTGTTAATAAATCTGTCAGAAAAAAATATGTTAAAGTTTCACCTTTAGGGGTACAACAGCCTGGCAGCCTTTTACAAAAATTAACCATGGTTTTATTACACTAACCACAATTTACCACAGTATTTGTAGTAAAACTGCAGTAACCACAAATCTACCATGATAATAATAATAATACTACATTTTAGTACTTATGTAACCCCATCTTTATTTTTCATGAGGTACCTTCAAAGGTGCACCTTTGTAACTTATCTACCCTTAAAGCATGCATATTTGTATGGTACTAATATGCTCACTTTTAGGGGTATAGTTGCACCTTTGAGGTTACTGCCACAGTAAAGGGCTAAAATACAATTATAGTATATTTTATTTCTGACAACGTAAACAAAAAAGTTAATGTTTTGTTAAAAAAAGTGAAATGTTAAAAAAACATGGCTTTAAAATCTAATATTAAGTGAACATAACTACTGATTATATTCTTTAAATAATTTAAAAGATCAGTTTAGTTTAGAGTATCGTATCGGTATCGATATTGAAAATAAAATAAGAGGTATCGCCCATCCCTACTCGTCGCTCCGGCCAGGACACGGCATCACAGTATGTTTAGGGGTGTAACATTTCCGTTACACACGCTTGAGGTATTCGGCCAATCACAACGCACTAGATAGCTGGCCAATCAGAGCACACCTCACTTTTCAGACCGATGAGCTTTGTAAAAATCTACGCGTTTCAGAAAGGCGGTATAAGGTTCAAAAAACATTATTTTTCACATACTGTAAACAATAATTTACAGTATGTGGAAAATAATGTTTTTTGAACCTTAAACCGCACAAACATTTCATTACACCAAATACACAAAATAATGTTCTTTTTAGCAACATCATATGACCCCTTTAAAAAAGTGCAGGCAGATTTAGAAAAGCTGTATATCAGCACATGTGAATAGGAGAGCAGATAAGGTGAGTGGTGGACACCTCTTGCGGAGGTCTTGAAGAACCTGATGTGCTCCCTGTCCCTGGTAGAGCCAGGTGTGTCTGCTGTTCCTCACCAGCTGGCTCCTCTCCACCCCACGCTGTAGCAGAAAACGCTGAAAGGCATCACTTTTCAGATGCCTGAACTCCTCTAAACTCAAGAGACCTGCGTCAAAAGAGACATATATTTAAAACATACATATGGGTACACACATTTAGCAAGTATTTGGTGATCTATGATATTTGTATCCTTTAAGGGTCCATTTATCGGACATTTGCAGCTAAGCTGTAATGTTCAAATAAGATCTTCAGCTTCGGTCTTTACCATTTCCATCCTGATCAACCTTTAAGCCATCATAGATTTCCTTAAGGTTCTCAGAAGTTAACCAGATTCCATCTCTCACTCGAGAGTGTGTCAATATCTACACCAGAAAATATGGCAGTAAATTTACAGATTACACAAAGTAAATAAACAAACACAAACAGAGATAAACACAAGATATACTGACACATTACATTTTCTTAGCATTGCCAAACTGCAAAACCAAGGCTCAACAAACATTGACGACTGCCAACAGACCTCATGTGGTTGCAGCTGGCCATCTTGGTTGAGGTCCAGAAAATTGAAGATTTCTTCTGGACTGAGGTTGAGCTGCTGATTAAGTTCCTCTTGACCTTCAGGGACCATGACCTGACTCTCCATCAAACCCTTCAGCTGAGCCAGACGCACAACTACGCCACACTCCTCCTCTGACAGAAACTCAGGGATCTCTGCAGCAATGCAAACACAAACATGGCCACAACATTTCACGCAAATGAATGAATCAACAAACACAAACACGCAAAACCACTTAGACAGGAAACAATGCATGCCTCAACAAAAAGACTGAACTTTTCATTTCAACAGATTACCCAAAAATAGAAATTACCTCAGATACCTCTCATTCATGTTTTTCATTCATGTTTGTGCATATTGGGAATTGTTGATGAAATATTTTTATTACTAAAATCCACACCAATGGACGATATACATTTAGTTTATTATAAGCATGCACTGCGGTTATGTCGTCTGCTGCTTTAAATGCTCAAGCACTTTTCATTGGCTGTCAATGTTTTTATAATTCATCAGCAGGTAAAATCATTCTGAAAAAGATTCCAAAGATTGATGTTATTTTCGTTATAACTGTTGTGTGGACTGTTCTCTTAGAATTTAAATGATTATTAAAACAGTTATCGTTAGAGTTAAGAGTAACTATGGACAATTATAACTTTAAAAGTCTATTATATTATATTCTATTAAATTCTAAATAACAAAGTCCACACAACAGCATTAACCAACACAGAGGAGCAACATCATTGGAATCACTCTAAGAATTTTTTTCCAGCTAAAGAGCGATATAAACAATGACAGCCAATCAGAATCCAACTGACTTTAAAGAGCTATAGTTATCTTTATTGAAGTTATTGTTCTTGGTGTGAACAGGCCTTTAGCATTCAAATCAATTAGGTGACATAATATTCATCCAATAGTTGTAACTGATTTGGCTGAAAAGTAGGTAAGTGGACGCTAGCCATATTAGGATAACCGCTCACCAATTGTGCAAGTGTGGACAACTTTTCGGCACTTTCTTGTCCTTTCAGCAGTCCCTTATTATTGCAGTACAAAAAAGACAATCTGCTAAATATCACCTTTTGTGTGTTTCATGAAAAGAAAATCATATGTTTATGAATGACATAAATGAACAACTTTTTTATTTTTTTGGGTGAAATGTTCCTTTACAGCAACTTGTCCTTACCAAACAGAAGGGGCTTTAGACTGAGTGTCTTCATTTCATGGACTTTCCCTGGCACGATATAAACAATGACAGCCAATCAGAATCCAACTGACTTTAAAGAGCTATAGTTATCTTTATTGAAGTTATTGTTCTTGGTGTGAACAGGCCTTTAGCATTCAAATCAATTAGGTGACATAATATTCATCCAATAGTTGTAACTGATTTGGCTGAAAAGTAGGTAAGTGGACGCTAGCCATATTAGGATAACCGCTCACCAATTGTGCAAGTGTGGACAACTTTTCGGCACTTTCTTGTCCTTTCAGCAGTCCCTTATTATTGCAGTACAAAAAAGACAATCTGCTAAATATCACCTTTTGTGTGTTTCATGAAAAGAAAATCATATGTTTATGAATGACATAAATGAACAACTTTTTTATTTTTTTGGGTGAACTGTTCCTTTACAGCAACTTGTCCTTACCAAACAGAAGGGGCTTTAGACTGAGTGTCTTCATTTCATGGACTTTCCCTGGCATCAGTGACACTTTTTGGACATGGCCCACCTAAAAATGAAAAAAGACTTTGTAGTTTTTGGAAGACCAAAGAATATGACAATACTCACAGAGCCCCAAATCATCTTATACTCTTTACCCGTATTCCTTCAATGCGAGGGAGATACATGTTTCGAGGGAAGCCCGAGTCTGCAAGGGTCTGGGGATCTGATGGTCCAGTAACTTTATGACTGCTGTCTCTGCTTGTAAAATCCCGGGTTGCCGTTATCGCGTTAGAGCCGTTATTATAATGAACATAGAGCAGAAGTGCAATGACATTGATAATATAAACGTGGAAAAAAACCATCACCACCATGAAGTATGAGCGAGAACACACGCTGCTTTTCTGCAGAGACACGCGAAGACGGGGCAGAGATCGCGGTGATGAAGATGAAGATGATGATGATGATGCGGTGTCATCCTCCTCAATATTGTCCAGGGGTTCCATCTTTTTGGCAGACAAGACTTTTATTGATCTGTTTAAAATACACTATTTAAACCTGTTCTCAATATTATGATACAAGCCATAGATGTTATTTGGCAGGTATTTGACAGATAGAAAATCCTGCATTAAAACAGGCGTCACCCAGAAGAGCAGCTGACTGGCTAACCTGCTAAAAGGCTACTTTTGTAACAAGCTTATTAAACACACGAACATATAGCAAAATATAACGTTCCTCGATAACACCAGCGCATTTAAACTGCGTATGAAGACATTTTCGTAAGATTTATTTTCGTCGGTACAAGCGTACCTCCGGCTTACGGCAGCATGACGCTCTCTAGCTTACTCAGCACTTCAGTTGTCAACATTCACTCTCTTGTTTACATCGAGACGCGTGATTATAGCAACTGCGCAGCTTCTAGTGTCCTGCGAGCGGCGAAGCATCATCTTGAAATTCATTCTCTTCCAAATCCCTGTTGTGAGTGTCTTGTAGAGTCAGCTTAGAATGTATCTGTCAGCTTCCTTAGTTGTGCATCTTGAAGTGAACGTGCAGCTGACCGGACTTTCGAGGGACGCCATTCCTGCTGCATCTCCAACACACTATTCATGTCCCACGGTAGCGACGTCCGATTCTTGAATGAGCCGTTCTTTAGAATCGAATCTTTTGAAGGAGTCGGTTGAACAGGAATACGGACTACAAACTGATCTGAACGATCCGTTGATGAATCGGACTGAACGATGGACGATTTGTAAATTAGTAAGAACATTTAGAGTGAACAGTATTTTGAGTAATAGGGTGAAAATAAAATTAGTCGAATAGCAGAATGTTACAAAATACTGGAAATATGTTTACAAATTGATTGTGTGACCGTTTTATTCGAAAGTAATCTGACGCCCCCGTTTTCCGCCCCCAACTGGAGCTGTCCCTGTTTTACATCACGTTCAAAACTGAATCGGGACGAAAGAACGAGCGCTATTATCATCAATTAGCAATAGAGATATAGTTATCGCTTTCAATGTAGTTACATATAGGGTACACGTTACATTAAAGTAATACGGTTTGTGTGTACAGGTATGAAAGGGTGCGGGATTGTTTTGCACACAATATCAAACATTCCCTTAAAAAAATTCCGTCACAACTCAGATATGAAGGAATAATAAAATGTATGATAAATTAAAAAAAATTACACTTGCACATTTACATTTGCAGAAAGCACTTTGTGGTAAAAATGCACCTAAAATGCAAAATAATAAGCCTAATTAGGGATAGTAAAGATGAATTTCCAAAAAGCAAAGATATAGCCTAAAATAACATTTAAAATTTTTTTAATTACTCACAGTTCGTGAAAATGTTAAATACAGTTAAGTACAGAAAATATTAGAAATATTTTGTTAAATGCAATTTTATTTATCATTTAGTGTCATATTTATTGTTATAATTCAAAATTATGTTATAATATATTGTTTTGATCTGTTTTTTGGCAATAGTTACTATTTAGCATCTTTCATAGTGTGATTTCTAGTCAATTGTATTAAACTAGGTTCAGTCTGATCCTCAAACATCATAAACATGGCCTTGTCCCAACTTTTTTGAGATGTGTTGATGCCATGAAATTTTAAATCAACTTATTTTTCCCTTAAAATAAGTTTTCTCAGTTTAAACATTCGATATGTCATCAATGTTGTATTCTAAATAAAATATTGAAATTTGAAACTTCCACATCATTGCATTCTGTTTTTATTCACAATTTGTACAGTGTCCCAACTTTTTTGGAATCGGGGTTGTAATTATTAATTATAATATAGTATATGGAACCTACAACAATTAAAAAAACAAAAACATTGTCCCCGTTTTTAAAAAAAGTCGTAGATAAGTGAGATTTCAATAATATTTTGACCACTGAACAAGGACATGTCCCCAGTTTTCATTTCAGAAATCTTAACGCATAAAAATTTGGTTCAACAACTATAACCGAGTAATGTAAATTAATTATTTAATAGCAATATGTTCAGCGTTTATGTCACGGGACTGCGTGATGTCCATTGCGTAAAAAAATCGGCGAATCAGTATTTTTTAACCTGTTCTTTGAAATGAACTGCTCGAAAGAACCGAATCATGGGAATGTAGAACTTCCCATATAAAAAAGAGGCTGTTGTACTGCAGCTTAGAGCGAGTAGTAGCGCATAGCAACCCCTGGTGGTCGTATATTTTGTATCTAGAGGAGAGATTGAATATAATAAAGGTTAAATAAAACATAACTTTGCTTGCTTAAGGTTCCCCAGAAATTGTGTTTCTTTTCTAATAGAGCAGCCTTTTAAAGCCCTCCAGAGAGATTCTGTCGATGTGGCTATTGGATTATGTGAGTTATTTGCTTGATGCTAATGTGGCGTTAAGGTAAGTAATGTCTAGTTCTGTCATAGCTGTGCAGTTTTTAAACCTCTGTTTTGCTCAGTAGGTTTTTCTATAGAAGAATTATACATGTCTTTCAGTACATTTTTCCATTTAGCATAAAGTTGGGATGTGCTATGACCAAGGTATCTGTATTCCCACGTATCTATTGGGCAAAAACACATTTTGTTGGATCATGTAGAACTAGCCATTTTTGTTTAGTCAGATGAGCACACACATAGATACAGATGTAACCAATGTTTTTTAAAAATGTTTGAAATACCATTAAAGCTATACAAATGTAACCAAATATTTAATTAAACAAAACACAAATACACCTCAGATGAGCTTTTTTATTAGTTACTGGTTTTTGTGGACATTTTACAAGGATTTCATATTATATGAGTTCTTGTTTCTCTGCCCACTCTCTTTCTCAGAAGGTTCATTCCTCAGCCTCTTTACCCTGTAAACAAATTAAAAATAATAAAAAAAAACTGAAGCATTATCAAAATGAGCATAATATTGTACTTTTTAATAATGTTTCATATTGTAGATTTTGTTTAAAATGCTTATGCACAAAATTTTGTTTATGAATAACAAAATGCTTGTGCACAAGTAATGTAATAAATAAAAGTGTGATATTTACCCTCCCGAGTTCACGGCTTTTAGCTCTCAGCTTGTTGACCTGGGACTCAGCGATGTCAGCTCTCTCCTGAGCTTCCTCCAGCTCGTGCTGCACCTTTCTGAACCTGGTCAGGTGAGTGTTGGCCTGTTCCTCCTGTCAATTAAATAACACTTGTTTAGGTTTATCATATCCAGAATATTTTGTAGTGTACCACTCTTCAAACTTTAAAATTACTCACAGCATCTTCACTCTGTCTCTTGTAGGCCTTGACTTTCAGTTGAAGTTTGTCCACAAGGTCTTGCAGTCTGATAATATTCTTCTTATCTTCCTCAGTCTGTGTCAGAAAAACATAATGCCTTAATTGGACCGTTTATCATACCTACATATACATATTTTTGTTTCAGGGAGTACCTGATAAGTCAGTTCCTTCACTCTTCTTTCATATTTGCGGACTCCTTTCACAGCTTCAGCACTGCGTCTCTGTTCTGTTTCAACTTCGCCCTCCAGCTCACGAACCTGAAATACAGAAGATAATTAAAATTATTCCTGACTTTATGCTTGTGATAAAGTTAGTGAATGTACCATGTGTACATTCCACAAAACCGTTTGCACCACACTCTTTCGTCGCTTAATACTTTATTTTGGTGTGTCAATTTATTCGATTACTCTGTATATGAAACCATGATCCGCACTCACAAAAATAGTATTCTTTTAACATCTTATTTTACATTTATCACCAGCAGGACAAAACATCAACGTTTCGGCTCAAGGCCTTCTTCAGTGCGCTGAATAATTCAGTCCCCCCACCCACTTTTTAAATCATTAATTATATTGTCATCATCATTCATCTGCAAAATTAGCCAATGTTAAGTCTCTAAAAATTTCATGTACCATGTGTATAGCCACATACCCTGGCCTCCAGTTTCTGGAGCTGCTTCTTTCCACCCTTCAAGGCCAGACTCTCAGCCTCATCCAGACGGATTTGCAGGTCTTTGACTGTAACTTCCAGATTCTTCTTCATCCTCTCAAGATGAGAACTTGTATCCTGCTCCTTCTTCAGCTCCTCTGCCATCATGGCGGCCTGGAATAATTTTTTTACTCAGAATTCAGTTTCTTTGTTAAATAAGGATGTGCAAATTAGCAGTCAACAGCAGGTTAAAGAACGTCAAAATATACACAACAACTTATCAATGAACAGTTTTTTTTACTTACATCAGTTATTGCTTTCTTTGCCTTATCTTCAGCATTGCGTGCTTCCTGGACTACATCTTCCATCTCACCTTGAATCTGAACAAGATCTGCTTCCAGTTTCTTCTTGGTGTTAATAAGACTGGTATTCTGAAGAAATTGAAAGAATGTTAAAAATAATTTTGATTATGAGTTATTCCTTAAGAAAATACTTATAACAAATCATTCTTCTTACTTGGGAGTGTAAGAGAGTCACTCGCTCACTGGCATCCAGAAGTTCCTGCTCAGCTACTTTGCGAGCTCTTTCTGTCTGCTCCAGAGCAGATCTCAGCTCCTCAATCTCTGCCTGCATCAGGTTATTCCTGCGTTCAACCATAGCAACCTGTTCTTTCAAGTCCTCTTGTGTTCGTAAAGCCTCATCAAGATGGAGTTGAGCATCCTGAAGCAATCAAGAGATAATTAGATCTTCCGATCTCATTAGTCAGATCAAGATATAGTGCTACACTGCTGTAACAGAACAAACCTTGAGTTGTCCCTGGACGTTCCTGAGCTGTTTCTGAGCTTCAGCAGCCTGGCGATTTGCATGACTCAACTGAATCTCCATCTCATTGAGGTCTCCTTCCATCTTCTTCTTGATTCTCAGAGCATCATTTCTGCTTCTGACTTCAGCATCCAGGGTGGTCTGCATGGAATCAATGACTCTCTGGCTGTTTCGCTTAATCTGTTCAATCTCCTCGTCCTTCTCAGCCAATTTCCGATCAATCTCCCCTTTCACTTGGTTCAGCTCAAGCTGAATACGAAGAATCTTGGATTCTTCATGCTCTAGGGTCGCCTGAAAATTAGGATAGTTTGTAGGGAATTGTTTGCTAGAACAGTGGAAATAATGTCAATTAAAAAAAATAAGCGCCACTTTACCTCAGCTTCTTCAAGTGCGGCCTGGATTTCAGATTTCTCCATTTCAGCAGTTTTCTTTCCTTTTTCCAGCTCATGAATAGTCTTTCCAGTTTCACCAAGTTGCTCAGTCAAATCTGAGATCTCCTCTGTATACATGAAAGGACACATGATTAACAGTGGGTTAAAACATACTATTCTGGAGAAGATCTAAAAAAGTAAAAGAAAAGGTCACTGATAATTCTGCAGTGAATGATTGTACGTACGCTGAAGGTTCTTGTTTTCCCTCTTCAGGGTCTCCAGGTGGTCCAAAGCCTCCTCATAAGAATTTTTCATTTTGAAAAGTTCTGTGCTAAGAGAACGAGCCTCCTTCTGGGCTCCTTCCAGCTCTGCCTGGCTCTCCTCATACTTCTGCTTCCATTCTGCCAAGACCTTTATGACATTTAACATTATACCTATGGTGAGGTGCATCACAGCTATATTGAATGTAACTGAAATAATGTGCAAAAGACTCGGTTGCTTTACCTTA